ATCAGAGATTCAGAGAGGGAAATGGAAGAAAAATTCTAATATCTTTACATTTCTCAAACTAAGGCTCATTTGCTATAGTATTTTGGGATAATGATTAGTGATTTTATATAAATTGCTAAGATTAGGTATTTAATAAATTTGTTTATTTCAAAATTGTTACAAATTAGATATTTGGTAAAAAAATTTATTTAACCGTTCGAAACTAATGGATAATAGTTAAAGTCTAAATTGTTAGTAAATTAAAAAAACTACCTTAAATAACATTTGTGCCAAACTGCTGTTAAATTAGATTTTTTTTTTAATTTTATTAACAAAGATGTCTTTTATAATTTTTTAATTTTTTATCATGATCTTTAATTAATTTCATCTTTATTTATTTTTTTAATAACATTAAGTGATTATTATATTTTTATTTATTTTCATTAATTTACTAATAAGATGAAACGATTAACATTTTGTTATTTATTTAAAAATAATATAATGTTTTTGTTAAAAATAAAAATATTTGTGTAATTATAATTTTATAATTTATTTATTATTATTTTTATAAAATTAATAATAAATTTAATAATAGAATATAAAAAATACATTTAAATATTTTTAAATATATCTATATTAATCATTTAACATTAAATAATAATTATTAATTATTATATAATTAAATAATTATATTAATTAAAATCTATTATCTATTATTCACAAACTACTTTTCACTATCTACAATTCATCACCTATTGTTATTATTTATTATTTACTACCTTTATTTACTAAATTTTAATCACCGTATCAAACAAGGCTTAAGCTAGATAAGGTTCGTGACTAGACCTTGTAAATAAGCAGGTTAGATTAGGTTAGGGTTGAGTTAAAACGGGTTGGGTTAAAATAGGTCATAGGTCAATGAAAACTAACCCTAACCCGCCCATCACAAGTCACGATTAAATTTTTTTTTCTCTATAATTTGTACCTATTATCATTCAAAGAAAATTATTCAAAAGATTTAAAAAAGAAATTCAACATCTTATAAAAATAATTTTTTTCATTAATTTAATATATACATATTTATAGTTCCTCAGAATCACCTTCTTTATTTCCCTTCAAAAAACAACACTAGTCAAATTCAAGAACACTACATTTATAAATCTCAATAGAAAAAAAAAAAAAAAAAAAGCAGTAGTAGCATATAACCAAAAAACACAAACGCCATTGGAA